TGATGATGATGATGATGATGATGATGATGATGATGATGATGATGATGATGATGATGATGATGATGATGATGATGAGTCTATCTTTGTCCTGTTTTCTGAGTGGTCAAGTTTCTGAGACATATAGCAGAACTGGCGGAACTGCTGCAGCATACACTTGACCCTTCACAGACGACCGGATGTCTCGACAGCGCCACAGATGTCTCAAGTTGACAAATGCCAATTGAGCCTTTTGTATGCTAGCTGACACTTCCTCCGTGATGCGTCCACCGGGTGAGATGTAGCTGCCCAAGTAACAAAACTTATCCACGTGCTCTATTAACTCCCCCGTTTGAGTGAGGCTGGGTGCTGGAACAAACCAGTCTTGTAGCAACATTTTACACTTTGAAGGTGCAAAACGCATTCAAGCTATCGACAAAAGCTTGCAATTTAACTGGATCTTAACTTAACAGCACAATGTCGTCTGCGTACTCTAGATCAGACATCCTGCCACCTGGAAGTAGATCGATGCCACCCACTATCCTCGCACAAGGATAGGGTTGTTTCATGAATTAGTATTGGAGGATTTGATTCAATTTCAAAGTGGAAATTCGTCTTGTGTATGGCAAATGGAGCGNGCGTGAACTGAAAAGCTAGGAAGCACTGGACAGCTGTTTCGACCTGGTTGGGTCTCATCAGTAGTGCGAATCCATCGACCCAACTGGGGATCGAGAATTAAATTTAATACAAAGTTAAATAGGAAACGGAAACAGACGGTAACCCTGGCAAACGCCATTTTCTATAGAGAAGTTGGGTGAAAAAATTGCCGTAAACTCAGACTCGGATTCGGCTATTAGTACAAAGGGACTGTAATATGGAAATGAACTTCTCGGGCACACCCTTTAGAGCGAGGCAGCGCCAGAGTTTGGAGCGGTCGACTGAGTTGAAAGCCGCTTCAGATCCAGGAAGACAGAGATGGTGGGTCTACGAAAATAATGTCGGTGCTCCAAAGTTAGGCGAAGAGTAAAAATGTGGTCTATACAACCTCAACCAGGTCTAATGCCAGCCTGGTTCTCATGCGTGCGCCGCTCACGTGCGGCATACAATCAACGGAGTATGATGCCGACGAGAAGATTAGAGACGATGTTGATTAAACTAATTCCCCATTGGTTTTCACAAGGGGATCTTTCACCTTTCTTGTAAATCGGTATGATCACCGATTCACACTATTCAGCTGGAACCTCTTCCCTCCCTCACACTGAGCCCAGGAGTTTTGTCAACTGCGAAACCAAGGCTGAGCCTCCATCCTTAAAAGCCAATGGGGACAGCTCGTCTGGGTTGGAGGCCTTATGCCTCCATTTCAGATGTCGGACTGGCGTCAACTGGGAGTATTTTCTCAGTAGAGGTGGAGGCTGATAGATCATATGTAGAAGAGGGCCAGTTGAACTGAGTCTTGAAATGTTCAACTGTGGTGATCCAGGCCTACGTGATGACGCCTACCATGGAACAGCGCGATACAGTTTCTGGACACCTGCGATCAGTCGAATTTGAAATTTGACGTCAATGACGCGCGTACGCGTCACGGCTCTGACTACACACCATTGGGGGATCGTGCCAGCTAATCCAAGACAGTGCAGACAGAAGCAGAATTATGCATGCAATACTACAATACAATTGGTGGAAGCTTAGATAACCACTGATCTTCTTTTGTACATATTATTTAATCGCCCTCATTTCTTTCAATAAAGGAACTACGAACTACTATTCTTGTGGCCTTTTCCTCGCGTTTCGTTTACGTGGAATATTACAAGCTTGTGCCATTGCGGTCCAGTGCCTCCGTAATCCAGTCCGTGATGGCTGATCCTTGATTCGTGTCCTATTATTCCTATCGCGTGGTCTGTGTTCCGAGTTCTGTGCATATCACTACTACCACTACTACTACATTCATTACCTCAACCGAACGGGCAAGACGGTGTTGCTGATGGTGAAACAGTATGCCATCGGATTTCTTAATTGCCTCACTTACGCCTACTTTCCTAGAGCCTGTATTCCTAATTAGACGGAAAAGATTGCAAGTATTAGCAATGGTCTCTACTTTCTCCATCTGTTTACACTTTCCTATCGACCACTTCCCGCGAACATTCCTCAGACTCTTGATGAACTGGCGTTTGAGTGATTTGCGCGCTGTGTCATATGTGGCATCCGGAGGAAGGTTTCTGCGGGCATCCAGCAGGGCAGCCGAGGTCGATGAGATCCATCATTTGTGTTTGGAACTTGTGGCAGGGTGCAAAGTTATTTTTATCGACATTTGCATAGATTCCTTGATTTGCCTCCAGTGTTCATTGAGTCCTTCGGTTGGTGATTGAGCTGATAGACAATCGGAGAGTTCCGCTTCGAAGGCCGATTTGCAGCAATAGCTTACACTGCATTGTGCGTATCCGTTGTCGGTGGCTTTTGGCGGTTGTTTTCTAGGCGTAACCAGAATTTGGCTCGTAACAAAGTGTGGTCCGTATCCACAGGTGTTGACCAGTAAGAGCGGCAGTCTTGAATCCATCCCCTCCAGCGGTAACTGATGGCGATGTGGTCGATCTGGGTCCAAGGCAGTGAAGAGGTTGGCGGTTTCCATGTATGTCGATGGCGTTTCTTGTGCGAGAAGTTCGTGTTTGACAGAAACAATCCGTGGTCCGCGCAGAGTTGAAGTATGCGATCTCCGTTGTCCGTCTCGTTGGCTGGGATTGCATGCGGTCCGCCAAGAAGCCTTTTTGATTCGTCCAGGTATCCCAGTTGAGCATTAGAGTCTCCGGCAACTATTACCATGTCCATTGATTGCACACTTTGGAATGATTGAGAAAGATCCTTGTGGAATGCATCCTTGATTCCAGGTGTACTGCAATCGGTCGATGCGTACAGCGATACGACGAATAAGCATCGATGCTTCGTTCTATAGCTATCAATTCGTGTTGGACCGTTGAGACGTACAGCACACAATCGGCTACGGACTGAAATCCAGTCAAGAAGCGAGCGCGCAGC